GTACTGTACTGTACTGTACTGTACTGTACTGAACTGTACTGCCCAAAGACACCACAACTGAGACAGCTGGAATGGGAGATCGAACCAACGACTTATCTGGTCTTAAACTGATCAACAGTTTAAAGACAAGTAGTCAGGTGCTGCAGGTCCATGAGGGCAGGTGAGGCACACTTCCACCTAAAACAAAAACCATTCGCCTCACAAAGTAGTTCCTCCTAAAAAACAATATAACAATGTAAAGTCCTTATTTACTTATCTTTCCATGTATTGTTTAGTTCTGTGTTTTTTGCATCAAAAGTCTGATACAAAATGTACTTAAAAGTATTGAAAATAAAAGTTTTGATGGAAAGTAAGCAGTTAGAATCTCAAAAATGGCATTTAATGGGAGGTGACTTCCCTAAAAACATTTTTCTAAAGGTCATTTTCTTCGTGTCCTGTTGTCCCTGTCCTACAGTGCTGTTTTTGCAAGTATGACTCAGTTGGGGTGTGAATCAGGACCCCAATGATAGTCAGGTGGTGGGACACATGACCCTCTATGAACAATAGAGCTAATCAAGGCTCTAATGACCTATTGTTAGGTGATGGTCCTCTTTTACATGTGACCAACCTGTTTGTCCACCATGTGGAGGCAGTGCTTATAAGGCTGAGTTCAATTCAATTCAGTTTATTTATATAGCGACAAGTCACAACACACGTTGTCTCAGGGCACTGTGCATGAAAAGAACAATCTAAAGAAGAAACCAGCAGATTGTCGAATCACTTCATCACAGTTCACCTGAAACTCATCAGACTGAAGAAGTCTCTAGGATGAGAGATGAAACATTTCACTAAAGAAGAACCCATCCAGAGAACCTACTTATTTTTTCTTTTTGATTTTTCTACCTGGATTACTGAGATGCATCCGGACAAAGGGCGGAGTGGGTAATCGGGACAATCGGGACGAATCCTGCTGGGCCTGACCATTAATGGGCCGGTCCGACGGATGCAGTTAGTACGGGGATGATAGGACGAAAAAAATCTCCGATCAAAACTGATGATGAACTTCTGTTAGTTCACTGACGCTCCACAGAGCTGCAGCAGCAGACAGCCCGCTCCTCCCTCCCTTTTTCACACACAGAGCCGGAGGAGCAAAGACAGCCCGCTCCTCCCTCCCTTCCTCCTTGTGACAGAGCGGAGTGGTGTCACACACACAGTCAAAAGTTGATTCTTCGATTCTTGTGGGGACTTTTCATTGACTTCCATTCATTTACCGGTGGTCATTTCTACAGCCTAACCCTGACCCACCAACAGTATTTTCCCCAATGGGGACCGGGCTTTTCCCGCATAAGGACCAGTGGGTCCTCACCACCACCTATGTTTACCGGGAAAATGGTCCCCACCAGGCTGCAAAAACCGTATGCACACACACACAGGCTGTGCATGTTGCATTGAACTGCCTTCTGCAGCATAAACAACGAGTTACAGGCTACAACTGGAAGAGATTAGACTCCTCTGATAAAGTTCAGCTTTTGGTAAAGTCTTTACAAAGAACCAGAAAATAAATCAAAATTTCCCCACAACAGTTTTTTTCTACCAAAACTAAGTGCAGTTAGTTAGTCCAGGTGATCCATTAATGTTAGCWATAATTTAAGTTCAGTGATGAGTTTGAATCTATTATTGAGGTGATTTTAATCAGTTAAACTGTATGTTAATGACAAGAATAAGGAAAGTGAAGCTAGTAAATTACAGAAATTGGTCAATTCAAACATTTAAAGTAGTACTGCTTGTATTATTAGCGAGAATAAAATGTTTATTTTTTTAGAGTTTCAGTATTTTCTGCATAAAAACAGTGCTTCATGGGCAGAGAACTAACTTTTAACAATGGGATCATGGAAAGAACAATCGGTCATCTGTTAATTTATTCATGTTATTTCATGATATTTTCTTGACTTCTTAAAGCAGACTGACTTCAGGTGACAGTAAAAATAGCCCAGTACTTAATCCATCAATATATAACCCATCAATATTTAATCCATGCCCATGTCTGTTGATGTAGGAGCTGAGAGGCAGAGGCAGGTTCAGCAGGTAGAGTTCTGTCAGGTGAGCGGTGAAGGTGCTGGGCAGGTGTGAATGAAATACAAAATGTTTACTCAAATTGATATTTATTTTCAGTACATTCTAGTCAGCTGTGTGAACTTAATGAAAGAAAATATGGATCTAAAGGCATAATTTACAGCATGATTAACAACTTTAAGTTTTAAAGTGGTAGAAATTGTTTTTCATAATTAGGATTTTCCTGGTTAAATAAACATCAATAAATAAATCTGTCAATTCATCCATCATTAGATTTTTGATCAGTTCCAAACATCCATGTATCAGTTTTTCTTAATATTTACAGGATGTTAAAATTGATGAAAGTTATATTTTATATGACCACTGTTTGATACAAAGGCTGCATGATGTCATGTCAGTTTGTTATGAGTAGACCTGTCATTTAATCAGAAAAATAAATGATCTGTTTAGTGTGTAGTTAATATTTTAAACATGCAGTTGCTTTGGCACAATGACATGTTACAAATAAAACTATATCAAGAACAAACAATATAAAGTCAAATTCTCCTCTAAAGTCATTGTTTGGGATAAATTGTCACCTTAGTTTCATTATCTGAGCCACAGCAATGAGTTTAAAAACAGGATGATTCAACTAGAATCTGTC